AGACTTGTATTTCTAAAAGGAGAATAGCATCATATTCTTGACGAATTTTATTTAATAAGTGAAACCTCGTTTATTTATGGATCAATTAGCTCAAGGAGACACGATTAGGATTAATGAGATGGAGAAAAGTGTACCTTACACAGCAATACACAAACGATACATAACTCGTAACTTAGCAACTGAGCAGCGGGAATCTCCATGGACATAACTCGTAACTTAGCAACTGCTATGTATCCATTATGATGCAAAACGTATCTCATTAAGAATTAAATTGTCAAGTTTTACTTTATCGGAGTTTTATGAACGTTTCTACAATATTCCAGTTTGTTTTTGTTTTTATAACGCTCGTGGTGTTATAATCTTTACACATTTGGCATAATATACGTTTTGGATAATGGAAAATGAATTTTGACAGGTATAATATAGGTTTTGGATAGTATGTCAAAATTCATTTTATACTATCCAAAACCTATATTATACCTGTCAAAATTCATTTTCCATTATCCAAAACCTATATTATTACCTGTCAAAATTCATTTTCCATTATCCAAAACCTATATTATGCCAGCCAAAATTCATTTTATACTATCCAAAACCTATATTATACCTGTCAAAATTCATTTTCCATTATCCAAAACCTATATTATACCTGTCAAAATTCATTTTCCATTATCCAAAACCTATATTATGCCAGCCAAAATCCATTTTCACTATCCAAAAACCCATATTCTACTACTACATATTCTACAGACAAATCCTATATTCCACTAACAAACCCAATATTATACTATTCAAAACCCATGTTTTACTGGCCAAAAACATATATTTCACTTACCAAAACCTATATTCTACTACTTAATTATATAACCACCAGACAAATACTATATTCCACTAACAAACCCAATATTATACTATTCAAAACCCATGTTTTACTGGACAAAAACATATATTTCACTCACCAAAACCTATATTCTACTACTTAATTATATAACCACCAGACAAATACTATATTCCACTAACAAACCCAATGTTATACTATTCAAAACCCATGTTTTACTGGACAAAAACATATATTTCACTCACCAAAACCTATATTCTACTACTTAATTATATAACCACCAGACAAATACTATATTCCACTAACAAACCCAATATTATACTATTCAAAACCCATGTTTTACTGGACAAAAACATATATTTCACTCACCAAAACCTATATTCTTCTACTTAATTATATAAC